GAGTGCCAGGAGATGAGCCCCTTAGTGTGGAAGGCATTCAAAATACAACCAGGGAAGGGCTGCCTCTCCAAAATGCAGTCAGCCTTAATGATGTGGATGGAGCAAAGCTTTCAGGACCACCATTTGCTGATGTGGCATGACTTAAAATGAGAAGAAACTGCTGAGAATATCCATTAATAAATGGAATGTGGAAGGTACAAAGTAAGAATCAAAGAAAAATGGAAGCTGTCAAAAATAAATGGAATGCCTAAAGATGGATATCCTAGGCATTAGTGAGCTGAAATGGTCTGGTATTAGCCATTGTGAGTGGGACAATCTTCTGGTCTACTCTGTCGGGAATGACAAATTGATGAGGAACAGCACCCCATCCACTGTCAAAAAGAACATTCAAGATCTATCCTGAAATACACACTCATTATCAATGATAGGACAATATCCCCATGCCTACAAGAAAGACCAGTTAACACGACTATTCCAGTTTACACACCAACCACTAATACCACAGAGGAAGAAATGAAGGATTTTTACTAAATTCTGCAGATGAAATTGATCCAACATTATCACCATGCTTGATAATTACTGGTGATTGAATACAAAAGTTTGAAGCAAAGAAGGATTGGTAGTTAGAAAATATGGCCTTGGTGACAGAAATTACTCTAGAGACTAAAAACTAAAACACTTCACTGCCGTCAAGTGGTTTCCAATTCATAGCTACCCCAATAGGATAGGGTTTCTGGGACTGCAACTCTGCACGAGAGTAGAAAGCTTCATCTTTCTTCCTTGGAATGGCTGACGGTTTTGAACTGCTGCCCCCTGTGTTTAGCAGCCCAACTTGTAACCACTCTGCTACTAAGGCTCCTCCACACTAAAGGCCACATGACAGGATTGTGCAAGATGCATGACTGATTCATTGCAAATACCCTTTTTCAATCACATAAACGGTGCCTGTACATGTGGACCTCAGCACACGGAGTACCTGGAAATCAAGTCAACTACATCTGTGGAAAGAGATAATGGAGATGCTCAATACCAACACGCAAATCAAAGCTATGAAACACCTATGAAACTGTTCACTAGAGATTAGTAAGTAAGCACAAGTTAGCCCATGCTTTTTCTTGCTTATTGGGTAAAAGATCCTTGCTCATTTGGTTACTCTCTATTTTGACATGCTTACACTACCGACAGCTGTTATATTCAAACATGCACATTAAGAGTCATGCCTAAGGCTTTCTTTTATAATATAATCAAGATTCTTGGCATAAATAAATACTGAGCTTTGGTCACTTCTTCAATGGGTGAGTTAAAAATTATAACTTTGTATGACTTTTCTTTGAAGGTATAGGTATGCTTGTCCACTAGGGATACTTATAATGTTCCTCTCAGAAGTCCCTAGAAAATTTTCATTTTGATAAATTGACATAATCACATTTCACTTGATTTCTATTAAAAGGGCCCTATTGTGCATTAGGATTCCAGGTGGCTCCACTACAGTAGCAAAGTGTGTTGTGTGAGTGTGTGTATGCACGCAGGCATGTTCATGAGCGGGTAGTTGAGGAGCAGACATGTGGTTCTTCTGAGCGATGCACAAGAGCGATGCAACCCTTCCTACCCAGGAAGAGTTGAAGTCTTTCAGACTGTCTCATGCCATTAGGGAACCCCATTTGACTTACGGCACATCAAAATGTATAAGGTAAGCAACTCCTTTTATTATTGTCTTCATGTATATATAGAACATCGGAACAGAACAAGAGCTATCAACAGTGTGACAATCTTTAGTTCTGACGTTCCTTCTAGACTCAAAGTTTTCCTCGCATATCCCCTTATGAATTGCCATTCTGTCACTAAAGACATTTCATCATGAACTCTAACACAATGTTCTCCACGCGGTTTTCTGGCGGGGTGGTGGGGTGGTGGTGGGGATAAGCCTGTGCAGGAACAGGTGGCTGGTTAATATCATCATTTGTTTTTATTAAATGACTGAACCATCGCAGAGTAAGTAAAGTGTCTTTAAAAGAAGTATAGCTGCATCTAAATATAACTCTGGGCTCCAGCTCACCTTTTCTGTTTACTTTACTTTTCACTGGGTTGGTTTGGGGAAACTGTATCCTAGGACTTGGGGTCTATAACTTGTTATTTGATAGTGCCTGAACAACAGTGAAGCCATTGTAATGGTTCTGGCACTAAGGGAAGCAGAGGGCTTAAATATGTTTCTAAAAGACAAAAAAGTTTCTTTTGTGTACAGTTTATAACACGATTCCACAATTTTAGAATATTCAACAACCCAAAAGGAGTTTTCCCACCTCTTCCCTCATTAGAGACCAAGAAGACAAAATAGGAAAAACAAAGGCACCGCCGCCACCGCCATCACCACCATGAATTCTAATCCACATATTATTGATCAGATGTCCTGGATGAAATTCAGATTGAAAGAAAGAGAGAAAGAAAGAAAGACTCCCTCTTCCTCTCAGCAATAACATCGTGAAATACACCCATTCCCTCCCATGTGGACAGAAAGAGTGTCCTCATTCCAGGAAGGAGGGGGCCATGAAGTGCAAACCTATTGGAGGGGCTCCTCTCTGCAGTCTGGGGGTGTGGGCTTTGGAAACTCCGCAGACATTGTGGCTTGTGGGACCTAGCCCAAGAGCCTGGAGCTCACAATTTGGGGGCGATCCTGGGACTGCTGGGGAAATCTCAAATAGAGGGCGCCTATAGCAGAGGCAGCAGACGGCTATGCCAGTCTGTTTCGCAAAGACGGCAACTTAGGAAACCCTCTGTCCTATAGGGTCCCCAGAGTGACATCGACTGGACAGCATTGGGCTTGTTTCCTGGTCCCAAGAACTAGAGACTGAGCCCCGTAGCCTTGAGCTCTGGCTAGCCGCCCGAGGAACTTCCTTGGCGCACATGCAGAGAGGGAGCCAGAATCAGTCCTGGGTGGGGGGTGGGGAGCACTGCGCCTAGCTGGGTACAGTTTCTTCTTAAAAGATATGGTGTTCAGTAATCTTGGGTAACTTCCCAAGCATTTGAAATTTGGCGTTTTCAAACCAAAATAAGGCTAAAAGGAAGAGAAAAAAAAGACACGTGGAGGTGTGCAGCCTTTCTGGGCACACCCCCAAATAACTCTAATTAGACGTTGAAGAAAGAAAACAATGCTAAAATGCAAATTAGGCAATGCAATACCCAGAATGAGCCTGGCTTGACAGGCCAAACAGATTTTAACGGAAAGCTTACTCATATCCCACACTGAATTCATTCTTTCAAGTACTTTCAAAAGTGTAATTTTAAGTTTCACCACTGTCACAATGAACACCCCACAATAACGAGCAGTAGAACAATGGACCCCCCTCTATCGCATTGTGTCGGATGATAACGAAATGCGCGGCGCTGGAATGCGAAGCGGGGATTGTCCAAGTGACCTCGCAGCGTGTGCTCAGGGACGCGGGCCCCACGGATGCCACCCCCTGGCAGAGGGAAAGACGCTGCCCGAGCTGGGCCCGACAGACGTGGAAGAAGAGGGCCCAAGACCCGGCGCGTGAGGGCAGGGCGCCAAGCTGGGTTTGGGGAGCAGACCTGAGCCTGGCAGGGCGCAGCGGGGCAGGGTGGGGAGGGTCCTGCCCGGCGTAGTGAGGGCGTCCAGTTCTTGTAGAGGGCAACTCCACAGGGGACCCTGCGCTGCCCGCAGCGCCCAGGGCACCAGGGGGGAAATTGTTATTTTGTGGCAGAACTCGTGTGTGTGTGTGTGTGTGTGTGTGTGTGTGTGAGAGAGAGAGAGAGAGAGAGAGAGAGAGAGAGAGAGACAGAGACAGAGACAGAGACAGAAAGAGAGTGTAAAGCGAGCAAGAAGAACGGGGCGGACGGCCAAAGTGTCCCACTTCCAAATGGTTAATCGGAAGGAAACAAGTCCGAAGCTTCCTTGGAAACGCGGTCCCAGCCCGCGCCCCACACAGGCCGGTCTGGTGGGGCGCAGGGAGCTCTCCAAGGGCCCCCAACCTCCCCACGCGCTGTGGGGGTCTCCGGAGGGGACCCCCTCTCCTAGCAGCAGAGGAGAGGTTAGGACTGTGGTTCCCTCCCCCTCTCCCGAGACCCCAGCTTTGCCATCCCTAGGGGGCGAGCTGTCTGCCCTGCGGACTGTGGGAGGGGGCAGTGCTCTCTTGCTGCGACTCAGGTCTGGGCACCCTCCCACCCATTCATTTTCCTCCGCCGCTTCCAGGACGAACCAAACCAAACCAAAACCTGAACATTAAAGCCTCCCAAAGCCTCTCGAACCCACGTCGCTGAGCTAGAGACCGGGGCGGCACGGGCCGCGGGCCGCGGGATGGAGTGGCGACCCGGGGCGTCGCGCGGGGAAGG